GCAGTGAACACTGTATTACAGTGATGTAATAGAAACTTGATTGTTCAAAGAGATTCTGTGCAAAGATAGGAAACAGGGAAATGTATAGCAAAATGTGTTATGTCAATGATTACAGAAATTAATGCATTGATATAACAGTCATTGTAAAACCATTTAATGTACTAACAGTGAATTTAAACAGTGCAGAATCAGCAGTCAAGTATTCAAAGCTATTGCAGCTCTAAAATTGTCGCTTCATTAATTTCCAAGAAGATAACAGTGTTGACTGACTTTTTCCTTTTAACGTACTGTTGATAGGCAGGTTAATGCCTGCAGGGACTTCATGCTGCCTTTTTTGTGAAACGTTATTTTTTTCCTTTCTGTAGAACCAGGATAGTGCGTTGAAAGATCTGAAATTCTAAACATGGCCTTTTCTGGGAAACTTCACACTATGTGAATGTCTCTGTAGGTTTCCACTAGATGGCTGTTACCTAGTCAGAAAATAGATGGCATAACTCACATAACCACGTAGGAAGTAGGGCACTGTGTCGTTGAGTGGTTATACAATTTGTGGCTGTTAGAGCAACTGACCTACTTCTGCAAACCACCCAGTGCAACTGTGGTATCATAAAACAATCCATCTCATGTTTACTGAAGTAGGAGGAAGAAAAAAATTGCGTTTTGGTGGAAGACGTCACTCAAGCTTTCATTGAGAACCATCACATCATTATTGGACTGTGGATCCAAACACTGATTTGTATGTTCACAATGCTATTTGAGTGACTTTGACAGGCAGACGTGTAGCAGGATGATTGCTTGTGTCATAGTCATTTTAGAAAAGACCTGAAACCGCTGAGGTGTTGAAAACAAGGTTGTTCAAAACAAGAAAACAAGGCTGCTTATGTTTTCCAGGAGTTCTGCTAGTGCTTGGTGTAGTTCAAGCTTTCAGACAAGATGTTATCTTTTATGAAACCAATCTTGACACGTTTGTACAATTTGTAACTTATTTGAAATGCTGCAATGCCTGAATGGTGTCACATTCAGTGTTTACATTGTACTTAAAAGATCACATTTATAGGAGGAAATCAACACCTCAGTGTCTTCCCGACCGTGAAATTACTGGTTTACACGTGAATCTGATCTTCTTTCTGATTTCGTATTTTAAATTGCAGATCAAAAACATTTCTTGCACTTTAGGAGTAACCTGGTTTTAAAGTATCTTCAAGGCACACTTACCACATTGGTGCAGAGACTGCAGTATAATAAAAGTCAGAAATGGCAGAATGGATAAATATAGCTTCAGTTTTGCCATAATGAATTATTCTTTGTAGTTTGAGATTACTTTCTGCTGCTGATCGCGGTCTCCAACTGTGACCCAGACAGTGCGAAAAACACGTGTGTGCTATTACTGTAGCACCCAGCCACATGGATTAACTTGTGAGGCCTGTGCAGACAGCCTGCACCTCACTGGACTTTCTAGGTCAGACTTTGACCTGGTGTTGGTTTGGAGCTGTCTGTGTTGTGGTGACCCAGTCAGTTCCATTAGCCACTATAGTGGTGAAGGCCAAGCAGATTTGCAGCTCATAGGTAGGATTTGTAACAATGATTCTATTGGTCTCCTACATGTCTGATTGTAAATCACATTAACATACTGACATCCAAGAAAAGAGTTTACTATACCATTTGCTTGTCACAGCTGCTTTGCTTTAGGAGCCTTGCGCAAACGATTATTGGCTTGCTCTGAATTCTTCTTCTGGCTTCCATGAAAAATGTTCTTGCCAAACACATTTCTTATGTAATTCATGTTATGTTACGTTAATTCAGTCATGTTATGTGGTGTTTATTTGTGGCTGTCGGTTATTTGTGGCTCTGTGGATGTTCTGGTAGGTATGTAATTCAAAGAAGAAATTCACATCTGGAAAATGAATTAGAGCCCTTCTAACCTTGCAGCATGGAGTACCTACTCCTTCAGAAATGTCCACAGACATGAAGAAAGACTCATTTCCCATTAGCCTGGAGTTAAAATGGATACCTTTTGATTTTACTGGTGTTATGGAATGGGAGGTCTAACTATATTCAATCATTTTTGGCACAGCATCCCAAAAAAAATTAATTACAATTAATCAAAATTTGTATTCTGTGAGGATTTGAACTGTTAGAGAACAGTAAGTGCTTAATGGATTCAAGAATCTCATCCCGCTATTACCTGAAAGAAGCCTAGAAAAATGCTATCCAGCTATGTTATTGAAGCCACATATCCAAACTTTTTCTCTTGGTTTTAAATACACTCCATTTAGTTTGCTTGTGCATTTTCTGTTTGTTCTGAACAGCTCCATTTGCTTGACCGAAGAGAATTGTAAATAGTTGTATCAGATCCCCTTGTACTCCGTTCAAGACTGAAAAGGTTCCATTCCTTCAGCCAGTCAGTGTTAAACATTCCCCAGAGCCCTGGAAAGTATCTGGTTGCTCTTCTTGGGCCCAATTCCTGAGTGGTGATGTCTTTTCTAGAATGTGGTGACCCAAGTGATGTAAATAAGGCCTTACTAGTGTCTTATACAGTTATGCACTTTAGCTCTCGCTACTGTACATTGGGATCGTTTATATGTTGAGTTGGTATGAATCACTGAATTATCAATAACAGAATTGGCGTTATACTGGGAATTCCATTCCATTTTCATTTTACAGATGTTATGTAAGTCACTCTTGGGTATTTTCATTTTATGTAACCGATGTGACCTATATTTCTACCATTTCTTAATTGTGTATGTGCAATTTTTGCTGAGCGGTAGTTAGCATCCTGTTTGGTTTATAATGTTTTGTTTCAGAATAAATGCATCAATTTATACGGTGAAACTAACAATGGGGGAAACTGTTATGCATCACGGTGCTAAAAATATTTAGTTTGAGGGAATTGTAGTTTCATGCTATTTCTCTCATATACAGGAATGAACAATTTACACTATGAAAAAGCCCTCATACCATATTAATTAATTTCCTCCTTGCTATCCTTCTTCAGTCATTATCTGAGTCATGAACAGTCAAATTGGCCAATGTGAGAGTGGCCTCCAGATGTAACTGGAGGCCATGGGATTTTTTTGTAACTTCCTTGGTTATTTTCTGGTTTGTTGTTACCTTTTGATTGGGTGACTGTTGCTGCATACAGTGACTGTGGTCTTCATCTTCATTCATATCTAACAGTGGAGCCCTAAATTCTAAGAAAAGTTTTTATAACTTTTTATGTGCTGATAAGCGTCAGTAACTCTATTTCTGACGTCCTCAGGAATTTGCTTACATCATGGCATGACTTTTTTCCACACTCCTGTATGGTGACAGTGTTTGTTATCTTTATATATTGTGGAGCCTTCCAAACTCAGTCCTCAGGATCTACTTAATAATGTAAACATCCGATTCTAATTATTCCCTTAATTGAACTTATGAAATTAGGGGTTTAGTAATTTTTTCACATCCCCTATACCTTAATTAATCATTGGTTTTTTTTTTATTCATATGTAATTTTGATTGAAGAGACCTGGAATTAATTGCTATAGGACCCTATTGGATACGTATATTAAGACTGGTTTTGATTCAAGAAGGCTATAATGGTAAGACATGAAATTTCCAGATTTATTTTTGGGATTTGCAAATCTTTTCTCTGGAAATATGAAGATGTGGAACCTTTTAAGCATTTGATGCGTGCTCAAAACTCAACTTTGACACTAGAGGTTCTCTTTGTTCCAGCTGGTAATTAAGATGGTTTGAATGTTGCCCTAGCTAAACAGAAACACAAGTATTACACTTGAAGGACGTTTTGTACATTTTATGCCACTAAGCTGCCTATCAGCTTGTCTTATGTCATGATATCGTAGTATTCCTAAGCTCTGGATCAGACAGCTTCAGATGCCTTACTGATTATGTCATGAATTTTAGTGCACTAACCAGGAGGCAGTCAAAAGCAGGAACTAGGTTTGTAGGTCATTTCCACTGTATATGTAGGGCTATTCATTTAAAGAAGGCTCCATAGCCAAAACGTTGTGTCTTTTCAGCACGGAATAAACCTTTACTTGTTCCATTGTAGCCAACACATGCCGATGCAGCTCCCTACTTGAACTGTTCATTGTGTTTTTTTTCCCCAGCTGCCCATCTCACTTCAAACGGTAGTTAGCAGTTGTTGAGTCTTCATTAGATCCCCAATTGAGGGAAAACTATCCATTGCCCTTTGAGATTAGGATTATTGTTTCTTATTAACTGTTATGTTTTTAAACGCTGTGTTTTTAGTTATTGTACAGTATGCTACAGGCTTCTCCTTTCTGTTGAAAAGAATATTTACACATCTCATCTTCTTCACCATCGCATGTTTAAGTTGTAAGATGAAAAAATCTCTTTAAGAAATTAAAGGTGATGTCAAATGTTCTGAATTCAATAAGAAAACATTTAAACATTATTTAAGTGCATAGTTGTAATGGGGAATTTTGGCTTCTTTGTGCACGTTGATGAAGATTTTTCAAAGACCGAGCCATAGAAATTCAACATAAGGCTGCTTCATTCCAGTTCATTACACAGGTTTTATAGAGTGGGCTCCCTAATGTTAACTGATAATGAGCATGATCACTTTTGAGGAGGTGATTATATTTATGTAGAGCTGTGGGGTATGTCAGAAGGGCTGCATGTTTAATAGGCTACATGTTTTCACTTGCACTGTGAATGGATTATTTGATCCCAGTTGAAAGTAAGGTATTTGGTGCCATCTTTCAACTTTCTGTGTGCACAGCTAACATTTCTATAAAGACAAAAAGATAGTCCAAAGGTATCCACCGTCTAACGACAAAACAGTTGTTACATACCTATTCATTGCTGTTAATGTACTTTTGTGTTGCAAGGCAAAATCATATGAGCCGTTATCTATTACTCATTTACACGTTTAGCGAGTTTTGCTGACAGAGAATTTTGAAGTGTGCTCAAAACTGGCAACAACCCTGACAGAACCGCTGAAATAATCAATTTCTTAATTCCATTTTTTTAAGGTTTTTACTTCAGTGTCTGGAAGATCTCGATGCCAGCCTTCGGAAGCTGAATTCCCGCCTGTTTGTCATCAGAGGGCAGCCAGCGGATGTCTTTCCCAGGCTTTTCAAGGTGCGTTTCCTAACACGGGGGTGCCAAGGCCGAAGCCCACCCACTTCCACCTGGGAATACAGGTCCCCCACATGCCAGGAAGGACAGCAGACTCCACACGAAGCTGAGCTGGAAGATGCGGAACAAAGCCCAGTGTTTAATAAGCATGGCTACAGCACTGTTGCTTGTGCCATTTACAGAACCTGAAGGGCTCCCTTGTGTCTTTAAATATCCCACTTGCTTGCAGTCTGTGCCTCCCTGTTTATGAGTCTGATAAGATGTTCTCGGGAACACGTTTTCTGTTCTTGGAGTTGAGGTTCTGTTACTATGTTTCTAAAATTAAAAAGGTGCTCTTTTATTTTCTTTGTAAGATATTTGACATGTATAGTACTTGGGGTGTTTCTGGTAAGTGCAGTTGCTTTTGAGGCGCTGCTGAATTTTTGTTATATAGAAACTAGACAATTATCTTTCGTGTGTTAGCAAAGCAGCCTGCCTACTTTGTAACAAAAGGCTTATATTTAGGCTCCTTTGGCCTATGATGGACAAAATGCTTGGCTGTCATCTTATTTAGTGCCCATGAACACAAGTGGACAGTTTTAATAGTCCTGTCTGAGTAAATCACTGTTACGATTAATAAAAAATACAAGTTTAATGTCATTTCACAAAGAGTATATTCATATTTTAGTTCTTCATGAAGTAGTATTCTTACCTGTGATTTTCTGATATTTTCAGATGCTGCATAATATAGCTTCTTAGCAATATTCAAGTTTGTTTCTGCTCAATGCATTACCGTTAAAAATCTGCGGTACCTATTTTTAATTTGATTGTTTTTAATCTGCTTTAATTTTTGATGCTCTCTAGGAATGGAACATCAACCGCCTGTCGTTTGAGTATGACTCTGAGCCTTTTGGAAAAGAGAGAGATGCAGCAATTAAAAAGCTGGCGAGTGAGGCTGACGTGGAGGTCATTGTGCGGGTCTCGCACACCTTGTATGATTTAGACAAGTAAGTCGTTTTTCTAGATAAGAGAACCACCTATATTCTCAATATATAAAATAATCTGATATTTGTGAGGTTCTGTAAGCACTGTATGCACAAATTACTTTCTTCTGTAATGCCTTGTTCTATTTCAGAATGTGTAAAAAGCTGGTTCATGTTGTATGAAAGATTCTGAATGCCGACAAAACCAGATGCAACCAGTAGATGGTGGCAGATACTTATGTTTGAAGTCACGCTGTGACTAGGAAATACTGTTGGAAAGCATGTGGTATTTTCCCTATTTTGGTGAAAGGACTGTGAGACTGATCTAATAGTATGTGCTTGACTGCTAATCTTTGCATTTATCATTTATCTAATTAACAACCCATCATGTTTTCTGAGCATATTAAAAATGCATTATGCATATTGTTGTCTGTGTTCAGTGTAATAAGTTTTGTGTTTAATTCTCTTCAGGATTATTGAGTTAAATGGAGGGCAGCCACCTCTGACATACAAGAGGTTCCAGACTCTGATCAGTCGAATGGATCCTCTGGAAACCCCTGCAGAGCCTATCACTGCAGAGGTGATGGGGAAATGCACAACTCCAGTGTCAGACGATCATGATGAGAAATTTGGGGTCCCATCTTTAGAGGAACTGGGTGAGTCCTCTATTCCCAGTAGGGACTGAACATTTAATATATCCACATACTTTTTACTTTTTATTCTTAATTGTGTGGTTTAAAATTGGTTTGAAAATTTATATCTTTTAAAGGTTTGATAAGATTATCTAAGCAGGCTCTAGGTTTTTCTGTAATGAACTTGCTAAGGAGTATTGCACCATATCTTCTCAATTTCAGAAAACAATCTAGAAAAACCTTCTTAATTCCAGAAAACAATCTAGAAAAATGGTTAAACACATTTCCTAGTGATGTGCTGCATCTAGTTTTATCTGAACTTTCTTATCAAAATGACTTTTTTTCTGAGTTTTTTTGTGCTTAGATGTGGGTCAGCAGGTCATAGCCCTACATGTGAGTGTGCTTTGAGTTCTGCATTTCATTATTTTCCGGCCGCTGTACTTGCAGGTTTCGACACGGAAGGCTTGCCCTCTGCTGTCTGGCCAGGAGGAGAAACGGAGGCTCTCACTCGATTGGAAAGACATTTAGAAAGAAAGGTGATGACAGGCTTTGATCTGGAAACCCCAACATGTGCTCCTATGTGTACAGAATGAGCAAAGATATGAGACAATGACAATATAAACACTACACCTAAAACAAAAACGAAAGGGATAAATGGACTACGTGGCCTCAGCCTTTCTTATGTTCTTATCGACACCAAAATGAAGCATCCTTTCCCGCTCTTGTGAACTATGCGTTATTCAGTGATTGAGGGAGACTAGTGCAGAAGGCTGATATTTAGATCAGAATTAAATGAGATCAGAATTTGTAACTTTTTGCATGTTAAATAACCCTTCTTTCCTAAAATTGTATTATTGCACAGTTTTAACCAATGTCTGTACAGAACTCACTGAGAAATGTTTTTCGGTCGGTTCAGGCGTGGGTCGCCAACTTCGAGAGGCCCAGAATGAATGCCAACTCCCTTCTCGCGAGTCCAACGGGACTGAGTCCGTACCTGCGGTTTGGCTGCCTCTCCTGCCGCCTCTTCTACTTCAAACTGACAGACCTGTACAAAAAGGTGAGCAGGGATTAGAGCATTGTCTGAAGCTGACTTCATCTTAATTTCATGGAAATATTGTGGTGGTGAATAAAATAATTACATTGTACAGATTTGACTTAAACTTTCACATACGCAGCAAATTACCACGATACAGTAGGGCTTATGAATGTATATAAAACTTATTTCCATGTCCTTACCATGTAAGCAAACCATCTGTATTATGGGAAATTAGTACGTGTGATCAAGTACACAATTCTAATGGTTTCATGAATCGTTTTCTGCATGGAATTGTTAAACCTACTTTCTATGAAACTTTAAATAGTGTAGCAGATTTGTGCCGAGTATTATTTTGAGGACTTTTCAGGGGTCTGGTTGTCAGGTGCGTACACTGCCGTGGAACAGTTTGTAATCCCCGCTCTGGGTGTGCCAACAGGTGAAAAAGAACAGTTCGCCCCCGTTGTCCCTCTACGGGCAGCTACTGTGGAGGGAGTTCTTCTACACGGCAGCTACTAACAACCCCCGGTTCGACAAGATGGAGGGGAACCCCATCTGCGTGCAGATCCCCTGGGACAAGAACCCTGAGGCCCTGGCCAAGTGGGCCGAGGGCAGGACGGGGTTCCCCTGGATCGACGCCATCATGACCCAGCTGCGACACGAGGGCTGGATCCACCACCTGGCCCGGCACGCGGTGGCCTGCTTCCTGACCCGCGGGGACCTGTGGGTCAGCTGGGAGGAGGGCATGAAGGTAAGGGATAGGCAGGCACAGTGTGCTGCTGGCACTGGCGGGAGGATGTTCCATGCCCTCACCATGACTATTTGGGGTGCAATAGAAAAACAACACATGGAAATCTTCAGTATGTAAAAAAGTTGTGGAATTCTGAACCATGCTGTTGTGCTCAAACCGTACAGTGACCTCATAGGACCTTATTCAGAATCTTTGGTGACCAGACCGCAAAATGGTGTGACAGATTGAGGACATTCTAAGAAAATATTCAATTAATTTCAACAAGAACGATCCTTAGTCTCAGGTGATTGTTGAATACTAGAAGGTTAAGCTAAATCTCTTCAGTCTGGGGGGGGGAGGCAGTTGAGAAGAGACGTGATCTGAGCATATAAAGACTTCGGTGGTACAGAGAGAATGAGTCCAGAAAACTATCACTCTCTGGAGCAAACAAGAATATGGGATCCCAATTGGAAATTTAGGATCAAAACAATGGAGGCACAGGGTTCTTAAGGAAAGGGTTGTTAGAGGCTGTTGGAGGCTTTCCAGGCAGATTGCTTAAGCCCAAGACTCTGGGCTTCTTCAAGTAATGGCTAAATAAAAAAAAAATAATTCAGAATATTTCTGTAAATCTAAACCAAGACATCAATGGGTTTGTATCCCTCATTTAGATCGCAAATTTTTATTTTTTAGCTTGAACAGCACAAATCTGTAAAAAGCAAGGTGACCAATATAATTGAGCATAAGAGACATTCACCGTTTGTGTCCGCAGTTTGTGAATTATGTCAATATATGGTGAATTAATTATACCATACTGTATTTTAATATCCAGTTCAGGGTGGCAGGTAGACCAAGACAAATCTCCTTTAATAACGAGATGGAGATTGTGAAATTGCTCCCTTGCTGGTGATCTTTCTCCAGTGTAGGTTGTATCTCAGGCTGTCTTTGTCCCCAGGTGTTTGAGGAGCTGCTCCTGGATGCAGACTGGAGTGTGAATGCAGGCAGCTGGATGTGGCTGTCCTGCAGCTCCTTTTTCCAGCAGTTCTTTCACTGCTACTGTCCAGTGGGCTTTGGGAGAAGGACCGACCCCAATGGCGATTACATCAGGTAATGCAATGGTTAGAATGCCTGATCCATCTTCAACAGCTTGTTTTTCTGTTATAAGATCGCTATAGCTACACACAATACCATTTTCATTTATAATGACATTTTCCTAGACGTTATTTGCCGGTTCTGAGGGGATTTCCTGCCAAGTACATCTACGATCCTTGGAATGCGCCTGACAGTGTCCAGAAAGCAGCAAAATGTGTCATAGGGGTTCATTACCCCAAACCCATGGTGCACCACGCCGAGGCAAGCCGCCTCAATATCGAGCGCATGAAGCAGATATACCAGCAGCTTTCGTGTTACAGAGGACTTGGTAAGCCAATCAAGTCCTTATTTGTTACTTTTTGGATTGTTTTTTGACCTCAGGTGTATATAAACGTGGATCTAAAATCACCAGATCAGTTGTACCATCAGCTCATGTTTGGTTGTTAACGAATACTTTTTTGTTGTCACCACTGTATTCCACTTGCTTTTAACAAGCTTTACCTAATGAATCATTGGAGATGGCAGCAGGTGTTTGATTCATGAAGACGGTGCGTTACGTGTTCTTGCATTACCAGGTTGTCCAACTCGTTGATGATCTCCTGCCTTTTGTGTGTTGTATTGCAGGCCTTCTTGCTTCTGTGCCTTCCAATCCCAACGGCAGCGGAGGTGCTGGGATGACGGGGTTCTCCTCTGGGGAGGGATTGCACAGCAGCAATGCTGCAGGTGATCTTTCTTCCCTTCGCCACAGTCCAGTTAGTTCACGGGATAGTTAGCACTGCCGGTCATCTGCCTTCGTGCGTTTCAGACCGTCGGCAACAATACTTCTAAAAGGAGCCCGATAAGCCACTTGGTTTCAAAGCAGGTTTTAAAACCTCATGACTGTGTGACTTTAAAAGAGTTTATTTTAAAGTGTCGGCTTTTTCCACATTAAGAATGTAGTTTGCTGAACCATAATTTGGAAGTTATGGTTAGTTATGTTATTTCTTTCAAAAATAGTGTTGGGAATGTCTTCAGTTTAAGTTCAATCTGAGTAATAGGCTTCTTGCACAGGTTCTGTGCACATCACCATGTAAACACCGGAATAACAAAATTCTGCATTTTCAAAACCTTAATGCAATTGTTCGCAATTCAGTTCCTAAGAGCACTGTTGCCCACCACCTTCCAAAGGTACTGTTAAATGATAACAGCTGAGGGGTACTGAATCAAGAGGTTGGAACAGCTGAATTAAGTGACTAGTCATTAAACACAATTGTCCTGTTTTTGCAGGTACTTCAGCAGGAGGAGTGGAGGGACAGGCTGTCACTGTGCTGTCTTACTCACATGGAGAATCTCACAGAGGGTTGCAACAGCAAGGTGAAGTTCCACAGATGAAACAGTTTTTATATTACAGAACGTTTATGCACAATAACAAAATGCAGGTTTAGAGGAACCTTTTTTCATAAGTTTGGAGTAAACACTTCTACTGGTCAGAGCTTTGTAAGACACTGAAGGCGCCCGTCTGCCTTTGTGGACTTGAAAGGTGTAGTGATCAAGTGGCCTAAACAGTGCTTCAGGCCAGGACATTATATTCTAACCTATTATATTAGATCACTTCTCAGAAAAATGTTCAGGAAGGAATCTGTCAGAGCTACATTGACAGTATCATGAACTATAAAGGAACAAGTACATAATGAAATAATGGAACTTAAAAAGAATAAATCGAACACTGTGAGGAATTAAGTCCTGCTCTGATTATTTCACATACCAAAAGGCACCACAGGTGAAATGTTATCTTTTCTGCTTTTGGGGTTATCTTCTAAAAAAACTCTTGTAAACAGGCCATACTTTACATTTTCAGTTTTAAGAAGGCTGTCAAAGCTGTGTAGGAATGAGAGATCATCTGCTTAATTCTTGACAAAGCAGGTAGAAGTAAGTACAGTATATGCAGCAGTTAGATAAGAGCATAGCATTTCATTACATGACTACTTTGCAGACAGTTTCTGCTTGCAAATGAGGATGTAAAATGAATTTCACTGTACCTGATTTCTTAGTGTCAAATTAAAATGCAAATAATGTCTTAGATATCAAGTGATTACAGGCAGGCAAGTGGATATAAATTCCAAAAAAGTTATAAGTCAGAATTACATTTCTGTGGGTTTAAGGGTTTAAATCTTGTTCTGTAACTTTGGGGTCTGGGGAAGTATGGACCAGCCGTGTGCTTAAAGACAACGTCCTGTTTTATTTCAAGAAACAGCTGGATGAGATCCTTCAATCAATAAGCTACTAACTACCAAATGGGCTAGACGGCTCTTGTTTGTAACATCTCTCATGGTTTTTATGTGAATCCATTCAGGATATCAGATCCCCTCTGGCAGAAGTTCCCTTCCTTCGTACTCCTCAGGGGACTCTCAGGCTGGAAGCAACCTGTTGCCGCAAGGTGAGTAAGAGGGGATCTCTCTCTTCAGTGTGCTCCTCTTTTCAGAATCACATGAACAAAACCCACTTTCTGTCACCCAGCATTTCTGCAGGACTGGGTTTTGGAACTTATTTTTGTTAGGCGTTTGATCGGCGCAATAACCAAATGGATATCATAAGACCTTGATAATCACGAGTAGCGTGGCACATCTGTGAAACGTTCTATAAATTTCATTCAGCATTGTAGCACTTGTACACAATGAATGTTTTATAAATGAGGGCTTAAAATAAGGATACTAAAATGATAAAGAAAAATGGGGGAAACCAAAGAAGATGGATTTCATTAATGGAATCTGAAAGGTCTTTGAAGTTCTTGAGTTACTACTCCAGTTAAATGTAACGTTGAAAGAAAAAGATTGTTGCTTAGTAGATTGATACTTAATAGAATTGTTTGTCTCTGTAATGCATAGTAACCTCAGGTTTTTGTGATGTACTGCATGTGACCTGAATGTAAATTATTTTCAAGGCTACACACGTGGAAGTACCGTTGTGCATTATACACAAGGAGATTCACAGCAAACGTCAAGTGTGATACTACAACAAGGTACTGTTTTTTCATATCTATTTTCAGTCAGTAGACCTGTAAAGACCTAGAAATAGCCGAATAAACAATGAAACCACATATATATGTGAGTGACTCTTAAGCACTGTACCATTGCACACAAATGTCAATACTCAATGGAAGCTGAAATAAAGAAGCAGAAAAGATGCAGAAAATAGGCTAAATTAACTTGAGGCTAAATTACCCATTAAAAGTTGTAGAAAAAAAATTGGTCTTTTAATAATTCCTTACACTTACGCAGCGTATTTCTGGACACTTCACTCAAAGTGCTTTATAGGTAATGGGGATCCTCTCCACCAGTGTGCAGCCCCACCTGGATGACGTGACGGCACCCATAGTGCGCCAGAACGCTCACCACACATCAGCTCTCAGTGGGGAGGAGATCAGAGTGATGAAGCCAGATCATAGATGAGGATTATTAGGACGCCATGATTGGTAAAGGCCAATGGGAAATTTGGGAAACACCCCCTATTCTTTTAGTGAAACGCCCTGGGATTTTTAATGACCACAGAAGGTCAGGACCTCAGTTTTACTTTTCTTTCGAAGGACAGTGCCTTTTAATAGTATAGTGTCCACATCGCTATACTAGGGAGTTAGGACCCACACAGACCGTAGGGTGAGCGTCCCCCACTGGCCCCACTAACACCTCTTCCAGCAGAAACCTTAATTTTTCATCCAGGTACTGACCAGGCTCACAGCTGACCAGGTTGCCAGTTGGGAGTTGCAGGGTGATATAGCTGCTGGTGTTTTGACAGATTTGTTAATGATTTTAAAAGAGCAAATGGTCATTAGGTGTTGTGAATTTTTTTAAACATGTCTATAATTATAAAATATGTTACAAGTGCTATGAAATGTTGATTTGTTTATGCTATCAGTTGTCAAGAGTATGTGAATGTGTGCAACAACATAGAATAGAATTGAAGCTCTTAGTTATAACTCAACACTACAGTTCTCTCAAATCCATGGGGTTGAGGGGAATGGTTTCATGTATTGTTATCCTATCACTTAACACCTACTCTAATTTTAAGAACCACGTACTCTTGTCGTCATGGAAACAGCAATGGCAGACAACAGACCTCCATAAACCTCTGTGAAATGCAAACCATAATAACAAACTACTGCAGAAACTGAACATTTTGATTTCTGCTCCCTACTTTTACAACAGAAGCTGAATAATTATGTATTGCTGTTTCTGGTAATGATTTGGATATTTAATGTAACTACAGCTGCATATTTTGTTTTATCAAAAGAAACATCCAACTTCCATTTGGGGTGTTGTAGTCTTGTAATAAATATTGATCTTATTTATGATCGCCAAATAATAATGACATTGAGTGATGGATATAGGGCTGAATCGGACATTGGTTAGAACTGCTTCAGTGATTAACTCTGTTAATGGGGAGAAGACAAACAGTAGATTTTTGACAAAATAATATTTCTGATCTTCATAGGGAGAGGGCACCTTCCCAGTGTGCTAACCACAGTGAAGCGACCCAGTCCTGAGGAATCCACTCAAGGCATCGTTCCCAAAGTCCAGAGACAAAGCAGTAACTAGCTTGTAAGTGTCTCGCATCGCATTGTCTCTTCACAGTATGCACCATGTAGCCTGTAGGAATCGGATCGTTCTATATACAGAGCAATACAAATGATACCTCACAGTAGCCAATCGATTCTTTTAACACAATGTTCCCGGTACAGTTTCCACAACTCCCTTTACGCTAAGCACAGAAAAACCAAAATGCTGAGAAATGACAGCCGTCTTTCTCAGGGGACACATTACTTGGGCTGATACCCTTTAGTAAACTCTATTACCAACCCAAAGCAGAATGTTTTCTGAGAAATTTGATTTGAAACTCCAAGATAAATAACTGTGTTTCAGTCTCTTGGTTTTCACCCATCCGGTGTTTACTTCGTGAGCTGATTGTCGTTTCCTTCACAGCGATTTGGGAGGTGGTAGGAATCGGAACATTCATATACCGATGGACAGAAGAACTCAACACTTTTCTCAAAGCTGTTTATCTTTGCTGAAAAAACTTTAAAATTAAAAATAAAATTATCTTTTATGAAGAGCACGACCCTTTCTGTAAGCACATTTCCATGTTCAGAAACTTTTTGAAATGTATATTCTTACAGGGACAATCTGGAACTTTGTGTATATAAATTATTTGATTAATTCAGCTTACTAAAACTGTAAATATTTGATATTGTATGTTTTTGTTTAGTTAATAGACCCATTGATATATTTTTGATATTACAAATATGATACGTTACAATTTAACTTTGATCTATATTAAATCTTCAGATAAAAGAGAAGGATGTTTTTAGACATTTTTAGATGCTGTTCATCCTACTGTTACCTTTGCTGTCAGGATGTTTTTACGTGCATTCACTGGTGTCAGCTATGAAGCTTTCTCTTTAAAGTTGTTCCTGTACAGTATTATTGATATTATGTACAATACCAAATAGAATTGCTTCTTTATGTATTGTCACTTCACAATGTGCTTGTTTCATTAAAAAATCTGGGTAATTTGCTTTGTTACTGTTGTTCTTTGTAATTTGTCTCTTAATCTATACAGATGCAGCCATTCGAAGTTCGCAATACAAACCCTAACCGCACACATCTACCCACAAACCACCGCGGTATGTGATTGGCTGGCCAAAATGACCGACAGGGGCACTCGTAGTGCATTGGTCGGTAGTGAAAAGATTTAATAATTTAATCTCTTTACTGTGCACATTTTCATCTGCTTAGTATTGAATATTTAAATGGAATTTTGCCACTAAAGGGAAATTTTAGTAGCTGAGCCTATAAAGAAATAGGAGCATGATGCATCTGAAGGTCATAAATGATGTTAATTTAGGAACGTAAACATATCATGTAAACTGTATATTGCTGGTATTGGTGTTTTAAAGAAAAAATACATTTCTCCCTAAACATTTTAAGCATCAAAGTCTTAAATGTGGTTATTTCGAAACGTTTTTACGTGCTCCTTCTGACCATATTACTGTACGTTTATATACTTTGTGAAAAGTGATCGTTTTAACCTTTTCTGTGAATACGCTCGTTATCGGATTAAACAAAAGCATACTTTTAGAATTGGAATGAGGCGATGCGACATGCCCACCGCATTGTACCCCAGCATACCCCGCTCATTTTGAATGGCTGCATCTGTATATATTGAGCATTAAAAGAAATATCACTTATGAATGCAACAAATCTACCATGAGGAAAATTACACTTTTTGTCACAGGTGCACTGACACTTTATTGAATATGGCTTTATTCATTATGTTGATCGACATTTCTTCATCAGCAGGGGATCTTACATAAGATGCACCACTGGGGCTACTGGTGGGGACACACTGTGCATGTGGATGCTTTGCACCAGGCTGTAGGGTGTGTCTTGTGCGATGCTGTGCCATTTGTCTCATACAGCCTGGGCAAGCATGTGCCACTGCACTGGTCTTCCAGGGTTAGGTACCACACGCCATCTCAGCCAATCCCACTGGAATTGAAGCGTGACAACCTGGGCATCCACAGCATTCCTGTGACAACTGCTTGCAAGAAAGCTGATGTAAGATGAGCAGTGTAAGGACGTGCACTGTTGTGCTGGGATGTCGTCAGGTCAGGATGAGTCTGCAGCAGATGAGGTCCCAGCACTTATTGCTGTCAGGTCACCGTCAATCAGATGAAGCTCTTTAGTGCCTACTCCTGCCTAGGAGCTCCCCATAGTTTGATCTGTTTTACACAACGATCACCATGTTCTGCTCAGCTGTGCCCCACTCACTGATGGCTGTGGCTGAAGAGCAGGGTCCCCTGACAAGTGTCTTTGTTCTTTTCGCCGAGCTTAATATTTTATGAAATACAAACATAGTGATATTTTGATGATCAGTTTGTGAGACAACTATAAAAGACAACTTTAAATGTGTGCCATTCATTTATTAGGCCTTTTAGAAAACTAGATAACATTTTCCGGTTATAGTGTCCATTCTCGGACATTATGTAAGAGAACACTCCGCAAAGACGAGGGAAACATGTAAAAGATAAAAGGTACGTGATTTAAGAGGCTCTGTGGGTTATTTTGGTGATGCGATTTAAAATTACATTTTAAAACCGATAGTAAACTTGGCTTCAGGGTTTTCCTATTCAAAGATGAATGAAGTCGTCGGAAGAATTGAGTAAATACGATCTTGCTATTCGCTGCGTGTATCCAGGAGCTTCAAATTGTCGATATAGTACCTCTATAAATAGTTCTGTCCCTTTTTTAAAAATAATAAACTAAATATCGTTCGGCAATAAGAAAAAAAACATCGCATCACTATTGATTTCTTAAAGTATTAGGTAAATATATATTGTAACTTCGTATTTCTAAACTACTGTACTGCATGTGCTCAGACATAATACGTGTTAATTCAATATTACTGCAAGTATCGCATTTAAAAGCCCCTCTAAAGCATTACTACTGTTAAACTGACCTTCATTTGTCAAAGTTTTACACAATTGCCATGAGAGTCCATACCAAGTATATAAAAATTGGGTGCAAGCAGCTACCGAGACACGATCCAAACTGCAGTTATGTGCTGCTGAGCAAAATGTGCGAATAATTACATGACGTAACCTTCGCGGACAGGGTCACGTGATAGGACACACGCGTCATCCGCATTTATTTCCTCCCAAATATTGGCATCTTGCGAACGCGCTCGGCTGTGCAGTCCCCTTCTCTGATCAATCTGTTGCACAAAAGTTGCTCAGCGGAACACGGTCGGTGGGGATTTGAACTGGCAAGATGAGCGACTGTGAAGGCAAAGTTCATCGCAAATCGATCAGGCTGATCGCTGCCGCTTGTAACGGCATGGGGATCGGGAAAGACGGGATTTTACCCTGGAGTCTGCCGTAAGTAACAGAACACAGCTTAATTGCAACTTAATATCGCTGCGTTATGTCCTGTGTAATGCACAATAAATGGTTTGTGGTCGTGCGTTGGAAAAGGGTTAGAGGAATTGAAGCAGCATGATGCTATAGTATTTGCTGCTGTCTGTAATGCATTTGTCTTTGATACTGTACGCAAAACACATGCACGCACTCATGAAACTGCTTGAATTCACGAATGAGTTCCTGACATGTTTCTGTATGTCTTGCAGATGCAGATCTACTTTTCAGAAGTAGCTGTAGGTATTTTGTGGAAACCACAAGTATTGGGGAACTTCCTCGTTACCTGTTGTGTAAGGCAGAATAACATGTAAAAAGAGTGACATGAAATAACGTTAATGTTTCTTTATTAGCCCTACACAATTTATTGCATTAGGAATGCGTCTTTTCGCATACCCCAGCTTTTCTCCATGGAGACAGACACAGAGACAGGGAGAGAAGCTTGGGGTCAGAGCGCAGGGTCTGCCATTGTACAGCGCCCCTGGAGCAGTTAGGGCTAAGGGCCTTGCTCAGGGGCCCAACGGAGTAGGATTCCTCTGCCAGCCACGGGATTTGAACCAGCAACCTTCCAGTCACAGGCGCAGATCCTTAGCCACAGAGCCACCGCTCCGCCCTTATAACTAAGAAACAATAATTATATATAAATAATCAAAATATGATGTCCCATTGCATGTAAATATTACTGTATAAACAATAAGTTCTGGGTCGCTTCAGTACAGATGTAAAAAATCCCAAATCTGCTTATTTGGATCTAGTAACATTGTGGCTGTGTATCCAGTCCTTAGTAATTTATAAGTCAGGAATATATGATAAAATAGCAATTTAAGTTGGCCTGTTCATTTAAGTGGTGACAAACACAATTTACAGTTTATGTCATGTATGTGCCGTGGTTAAAAAGTAAGGTTTTGTGCACAAAAGCCAGACAGAACAGACTTGTTTGTTATAGTAGTAAGGATTTGTGTAGACCATTCCTGCTTACAGAACGTTTCTTATCCAAACTAAATAATTTGCTTTAAATTAATTTGCAAACCGTTTAATAATTAAACTTTTTGGAGTGTCAATGACATAATGATAAAAATTAGTTGTCTAAAAAGTCATGCTTGGTGTTTGAGCACATTATGAATAGTGTTAGAGGATTGTGATGTTTTATTCTGGAAGGATATACTTCCCTTTAAAATGCACTTAGTAGTCATTGTGTTGAACCCAGCTAAATCCCCATTCAGCAAAACTGATTTCTGTTGACCTTTGAGTATTGTACATTTTTATTTCTGTTGAAAATAAATACCTAAAATACCATCATTGTGATTATTATAAAGTACATCTCGTTTCTGTGGAAAAGAATAAAGTCAGATGTCTCATTCTGGAACTGGAATAACAATGCACCGTCACATGTACTGCAGGGCTGAAATGTGAGTATGTGCTGTTCCATTATATTGAAATGAACAAGTGTCTTAACATCTCATTCATACATCCATCCATTTCTATCCGCTTCATCCAATTCAGGGTTGTGGGTGTCCGGAGCCCATCCTAGCCAGCAACGGGCTAGCCAGCAACGGGCACGAGGCAGACACAAACACAGACAGGCACACACCTGTAGTATGGTAGTGCCATATGACTGATCTCTGCTGAACTAGTATGCTGGACAAATTTAATGGGGCCCTACCATGTCACTGCGGCTTGACTTTGAATGTAGAAGGAGCCTGCAAATATTGTAGAAGGAGCCAGCAAATATTGCATGAATTGAGTACTGTTAAGATAGAACAAGACCCCATCCCATGTTACAACAAAGATATTACTGCTCTGGGATCATCTGGAGAAAAGCAACCAAATTCATTGTTGGGCTTAAGGTTATGTCCTGCACTGACAGGTGGAAAGATCTTAATCATTTTAGTCTCTAACAAATTAGACTACAAGGGGACCTACTGTACATGTATTCAGAATCGTCTAGAGCACTGAAGAAGTCAACACAGTAGTTCCTCAGAATGTGCAGTGAAACACAAAAAACATGGAACAAATGGAACCTGTGTGGAGGTGCATTAACAACTAAAGAAAAGAGATTTAGGGTGCAGAGATTCAAAATCGGCCACAGAGAGCCACCATTTCTTGGATCAAGGAGTTGTGTTGAATAAATATTCTTGCTCCAGTGAGGGAAGGAATGTATTGCTGATAAGAAGGAAGCCAACCCTCAAAATGGGAAATCCTGGCAGCCTCCACTGGTCACTGCTGTGAAACTGGAGGTGGTAGCCTCTGATGTAGTCTGTCCTATCCATAGGTCAGGGTTGATAGTTTTTATCATAGTAGGGCCCTGTGGCCTACTCGGAAATGTCTAAGATGTCTACTGACTGGGATTGGTGTCCATGCATCTTGGTGAAGGTGGTGATTCAACCCAGCCAAAGCAGACAGTTGTGACGACTTTGTTGCTATCTGAAACGGTTGAAAAGCTCATTGAGCACAGGGACAAAAGTATGGTATGACAAGCTGGGCCATCCAGATCAATATTTAGGAGTTGTCAAGCAAAGGTGGCAGCAGATCTTCTGAGTCGTGGAATACTCATTGAGACCATCTAGTTGAAGGCAATATGAAGCTATTTTGATAAAGTGGAGGTTGAGAGTCCTAATGAATGCCCATGAGTCTTTGATTCCAGGATAATCATGACAAGTTCAAGGTATAGAGGGGGTCATCGAGTACTTGTAAATGCTTCATACACAAATGATGACCAGGAAGGGAGTCATGGATGAGATCCCTTGTAGAAATGGCCCAAATAAATGAGTATGCCAAACATGTGGTTAGAGAGGAGTATTCGAAAAAAAGAAGCCAAGGGCCCTACCTTAATGGAAGACACTTCGAGGCACCAGAGAGTGACAGATTCAAATAAAAAAGACAAAATCCAGAGCACAAGAAACTAGGCCAAGGCCAATCCAGACAATAACGGGGAGCTCGGCGAGCACTTTGCCATTTTCACAGTGAGGCTAATAATGGTGTAAATTAAGCCACATCACCCCTGGTTGTGTACAAAAACGGCAGGCCAGAGTGAGAGTAATCTGTGATAGGGTACCTTCCTGTTGATATTAAATGCATTCTGTCCTTGAAAGTGAACCAAGGTTTTCCTGAAAAATGCTGTACAATGAACTACAGCAGATCAGTTACCTCCAGAACATTTCATTGTCATGTGGTGCACAGCAGAGGCCATACCAGTGCCAAAATCATACAAAGAGCATAGAAAACTCCTACACAAAGCATGATTTTAATTTCCCAGACTGCATGCAAGGAAAAAAAACTCAGTTCATGTTTGCTTTTGAAAAAAAAAACTAATGATGGACTGCATTTTTACAAATTTGATTTTCCATTAAAAATCAATTTCAGGAAAGGTGTGTAAAATAAATTTTTGTGTGTTTTTGGAGAGCATGAGTATCCAGCTTGCTGTGAGCTGTGGAGCAGTTTCAAAAAGCATTACTGCATGTACAGGATTTCCTGCAGAGCTTTGTATAAACTCCTATCTGTTGATTGAGACTTGGTGTTCTAGAATTACATCATTAAATTAATTGCAATACTAAATTGTATTTTCAAAACTACAATAAAGTGTATTTTCTATACTACTTATAAACTACTAAATTATATTTTTTCCAACAGGAAGGAATTTAAATTCTTTTTGGACACCATCACCTCTGTTTCCAGTCCAGGTAACTCTTGGAAATCATAGTTAGGTGCTTTCTTCATAGAATTGTATATACTGTAAGTTCAGTTTAAGTTTAAAACACTCTTTCAGTAATAAAGATAATAAAGGGGAGAAAACTATTATATTTAGAAAGTGACAGGTTAAATTTTATGAACTAAGAATATATTTCAGGAGTGTTATAACACCCTTTTTGAAATACAGTAGGGTCTCGACATTCAAGAGGGTTTGATGCAGAGAACCACCGTGAACAGCAAATTTGCGTTCACGCAAATGAGTGGTGTCCAAAAAAGCACTATTTAACTGTAAGGATATGTATTATTATTTTGTAAATAACTAAATTCACCCCTGTACAATCATATAATGTACTACAGTAACCCTTCTTTATATGATAAAATAACATTGATCCACTAAAACAAACAACAGTAATCACAAACTGAGTGTAACCAGCTAAAATAAACAACATGAATCCCTTGGGCATATAACGGGGGCAGATAGAGGCTCACTCACTAACTAGATTAATCTCTTGATTCCAGTCTGTTATGCAGCTAATTTGAAAGTTGCGGTTAACTACCTTTGGCTCCGTTTCATACCAATCTGCTTTTTTTCCATCCAAAACCCTATCAGCATGATCAAATTGAAAATAAGCGAATTCCCAAATGTTAAATCCCGGGCAATACCAAGAGCTCGGCTGTCAGATGTTGACACTCTACTGTAATCACATATTGAAAACAAGTAGCTTTATATATCCTGTATGCATCTGAACACGACTAGGTATTTTTCAGGTGGAAGTTATAATGGCATTCAGAAGCTTATATTGTGTTATCTGTAACAGTTCTTAGTGAGTTTCTTTTAAAATAATGTAAATGTGCCTATTATTTGGTTTGGTAGTTAGTAACTAATTGATCCAAGGATTTCATCCAGCTATTTTTTGAAAGAAGCCTGAGAATCAGCTTCAACAAAATGGCAGGAGAGCTTCTTCTGTACTCCCACAACCCTTTGAGTAAATAAGTGCCTTTGTTTATAGAAACATACATTATATGGAAGTAACAATCACACCTTCATTGAAACTTACTGCTACTGTACATCCCCAGGTCCAACCAGGGAGAAACGTACATGCATTGCTTGGCTTATGCTGACATTTGTAAGAATCCAATATTTTGACACTACGACTATTGTGTTGCTAGAAGACTAAAACTAACCACAAAGTCTAAGCTACCCAACACAGGCTTTTTGTGCTTGGTGAGCTGAGTGCTTCTTCATCCCACTGATCCCTGCTATAGCTTATGCCTTTAGAAAAACAACATAACAAATATTATAAACCAAAGGAGTTTGTTTGGTCTGTTCCATGTTTGTTTGCTTGCTTTGTCCAGCTGTTTATTGATGGATTCCAGTAAATTCATGGCTGGATTGTTTATTCCAGACCCCATTTCCTCATTGTGGAGAGACATGCCTCCTGTTTTCTGTTTAAACTGGACTTCCTTTATATTTCTACCTGTGATCGACCTGTGACACATTGAAACATCAACGTTTGCTGTAGCCTGTGGAAGTTTCCTGTCAATACCCTGGTGAACCTTGAATATGTGAATTAAATATGCTCTTTTGTGCTTCCACTGGGTGTTCAAGTAACAGCGTGGCCTTGTGTTCACACTGGTGAGCTCTTGTCTGTAGTTTCTACTGGATGAGACATGTAGGATCCCCAGGGCCATTGTCTCACTCACACATTCTTTTAAAATTTCTATTCATTACTTGTTCTGACTCAGCATTGACCTTGGTCAGCCTGACATGGCTACACTGACACATTTAGCTTTAATTGTAGCAGAGATTGTGTTTTGTGATATATTGACCAGGATTTGTTTTTAGCCTTAAATGAAAACTAGAATAAAAAACAAGAGATTTTATGTTCCCAGCTAAATGAAAACCAGAACTGAAGTTAAATAAGCTTGAAAATGTTCTGAAATGCACTGAGCATTAAACTCAAGTTAATGGGTGTGACAGTCATCCCTCATGTTTCTGCTTCCCCAGACAAGAAAAACCTGCTGATTTGGGGGAAACGGTGCTGGATATCCTTCCCAGAGAGTCTGCATCCCTTGGCAAACTGCATTCATGTGGTCTTGAGCAGGACCATGGGGTAAGTCATCTGACAGAGAGAGAGGAGCCTGGCAGTCAGACTGTCATCTTCCCTGTAGGTTCCTTGAGACTCTTCACTGTTAACCAGCAAAATCTAGATTTCCACGGTAACATCAACAATACAAGTTTACTGACAATGTTTCCTGTATATAAACTAATATAAGTTCTCTGGATAATCAAGAGAATCCTTACAGTTTCTCAGTCTTCTACTGCTTCTGCAGTGTAGATTCTTTTCATCTCAGTTTTCCGTTACATTGTGTTCCGTGATTCCCTGTATCCCAGATCAAAAGGATTTGATGATACCACCATTAAATACTATGCTCCTGGGGAAAACAAAGGTCATATCCTTTCACAAAAGTACAGTTTAAGTAAACTGAATTGTGATCCTGAAGATGAAAATTCACCTTTCACTACGACAATAACCCAAGAACACGTCCAAAGCTACATACAGTATAGTGGGTTATCAAGACAAAAGTGAATGTCCTTGAGTGGCTCAGTCAAAATTCTGACTTGAATCTGATGGAAAAATCTGCGACCCCTTGAAAATTGCTGAACATTTTCATGGACGGTTCTCAACCAGCTTGATAGAATTTTAGCATGTTTGGAATGAAGAATGGGTGAAAATTGCACCATCCCGATGAGCAATATTGGTAGAGACTTATCCAAAAAGACCTAGAACTGTATTTAGTGTCAAAGGTGCTTCCATCAGGTGATTCCTCTCAGTGACCTGCACCTTCTTGAACCAGGCCTTTTCTGTCATCTAGTTATTTGTTGTGATTTTGAGGTTTTAATTACTACTCACAAGTTCTTCTGTCAGGGGCCTTTAGTTAGCTAGACATGAGGATTCCATTATGCTGTACAGTTACACTATGGGTGGAATTTTAGATTTTGTTAGTTCTACAAAAAATTGCCGAAAATTCGTTAAAACATCACCCCACTTGAATACAATAACCAGCTTTGCCCCATGGAAACTTCGAATCGGTACAAAAACAAAAAACTGGGAGATGCAGGCCTTTCAAAAAGTGTTCACCCTCTTATTTATAAAAGTGACTATTTTAAGTATTCACTTTAAAAATGTGTATGCATCATTGGAAGGCAGTGAATACATTTTGCAAGGCACTGTAGATAAGGTGACACTGGCCCATCTCTTCATTTAGTTCCCTTCGAAATGCACTAATAATCACACAGTGCAATATTGTGATTCTGATTGAAGAAGGGAAGACATAACTTCTTTTCCACAAGTTAGCATCTCCTAAATCCAATTAAGAAAAGAACCCTACAAGAGTCTGTTGCCTAATGCAACTGTTTTTCTTAGATTTTGTCATCTAAAGCTGATAAACTCCTGGGTCAGGCTGTGTTTTGTGAGAATTATTTATGTACTCTCCAACTTAGTGCATCTCATCTTGTGGAGTTTCATGCAGCCCCTCCTCAGCAGCTGTCTGAAATGATAAATTAAGCCTGTCCCCACCACATGATATTGGATCCTATTTCCACTGTTTTGCTATGTTCAAATTTTAGCATTTTGTTTCCCTTGGTAACATATAATCCATAGATAATAAAGAATCAGAATGATTAACTTGGCCCTTAAACATGCAGTTGCGAAGCCTATGTTAAAAAAGCAGAACTTGGACTAACCCTGTTCAGGAGTCCATTCATCCATAGTTTAACTGTTTTGCCCAATGTAGGGCTATTGAAGGGTCGAATTCTATCATGGCAAGCAATAGGTCCAAGGCAGGATACACCCTAAAGAAAACTCCAGTCCATCTCAAGGCATGCACAGACACATACACACTCACACCAGGGCCAATATTCCCCAAACCCAATAAACCTGCCAGTATGTCTTTGGACTGTGGAAGGAAACCCATATGAACACCAGAAGAATAGGAAGTTCACTCAGACAGCACCCCAGGAATTGAACCCAGGGTCCCAGCGCTGTGAGGTAGCAATGCTATCCATGGCACCACTGTGCCACTCTGTAGTTATCAGCCAATATTTTAATTTACTAGTTCAAGTAGGGAGCTGCGTCAGCATGCGTAGGCTACAAATGAGCAAGTAAAGGTTTATTTCATGCTCAAAAGACAAGAAACGCAAGATTTCGGCTGTGGAGCCTTCTTCAACACACCCTAAGAAGGCTCCATACCTGAAATGTGTTTCATTTGTTCTCTTTTCAGCATGGAATAAACCTTTACTTGTTCCTTTTTAATTGACTATTTTTGAAAAGGTTCTAGATTGGATTGTTGCTGTTCAGATGCATGCTCACCTGTCAGCCAATAAGTACAGGTATATATGTAAAATATGATGTATTTAACTTCAGTTCAGTTGCTGAATACATAGTACAGAAACCGCTCTTGTGAGGGTTACTAATGATCTACTGATCACTACTTTTTTTTGCCAATTCTTGTCTTTCTTCTGCTTTCAATACTGTTGATCGCCATCACACACCATCATGATCAGTATATCAGAGAGGGCTGTTGGTGTTGCTGGGACTGTTTTGTTGTTGTTTGATATCATATCTAACTGAAAGAAAACAATGTTACAATTTGTCATTTTTCCTCTCCAATAAGTTTGGTCACATCTGGTGCCCCACAAGGCTGTATTTTTGGTTCAATTCATTGCTGTACTGATGACACCCAAATTTATATTTAAAGTCTGCTGCATACAATATAGTTTGCTTAATGATAGAAAAGTCTAACTCTCGACTCTCGATTTTTTTACAGCTGTGTGCCAGACCATGCTCACTATCTCTGCCATGATTTACCAAGTGTGATACAGTTAGGATCCACCCATCCTCTCAGTGATAAGATTGAAACCATATGGATCTTAGGTGGGGCTGAGTTATATAAAGTGAGTATATCAAAAATTACTCAAAATGTCTTTATTAATAACTATCTAGCCCATTTGATTAACACTTTTTACTGCTTAAAATGAAACTAGAGTTTTCTCAATCCATTTTAAAACAGTATTCAGTCCAAGGGTGTTCGCATAAGTACATAAGAAAGGTGACAAAATAGTTTCATAGCTGAGTGAATCTAAAATGTAATTGAGCACACTTCTTGAAGTAGTCCAGACACAGGAATCAGCCACCTGGCAGTTCTTGGTACTCACAGTTCTTGTGTAAAGAAGTGTTTCCTATTCTCTGTCCTAAATAGATTCCCTTTTATTTTCCAGTTGTAAACACGGTGTCTTTGTTTCACTACCGAGTGTGACACAGTCCTCTGGGATGATCCTATCTATATTACTTAGGATATTATATTCTTGGATTCAATGTTTTCAGTCTTCTCTGTTCTAGGTTAAATAGATGTATCTAATTTATAATGCCATTCCTCTCATCAAGTACAAATGGAATTAGCAAGATATTACGAGAATCTAAATATGTAAATCAGAACAATTGACCTAAAATAGATTATTTGGTACACCACTGCTTACGCTACCTCAATTTGATTAAAGGTTTTGTCAAATCAGTTATCCATTTAGTTAACCAGTTCTGGGTTCATACAGTACATTACCCTTGATTCCTGTAGCTTTTAATTTTATTAATTAAATTAACCTTTAATTAGGCGTCTTGTCAAAAGCAATAAACAAGCAAACAGTGTGTTAGAAAACATCCTTGAAACAATAGAATTTAAATCAAGGAATGTTATTTTAAAATTGTGCAGTGCAAGAATTTAGAATGTACTGTTCAATTTTGGCCACCATGTTAGAAAAATATATTACTGCTCTGGAATCAGTCCAGAGAAAAGCAAATAAAAACTCAGGCTTAAAGGGATGTTTTACAACATCAAAATCAATAGTGAAACATTAACATTAAAGGATAGAAACTGAAACTAAGGTAAAGTTGATTGAAATGAAAAAGTATAAGTGTACTCTCACCTTGGCTTGAGTTTTGAGCTCAGGGGCCCCTCTTACTCAAAGAGATATGTGTAATTCTGCTTTGTGTATAGTAAGTTTCAATAAGCAGCGACAGACCAGTGTTGTGACCTTATTATGGCTCATCAGCATAGCCTAGCTGTATTTCTGCTAATCTTTTATAAGGTTCACGTAAGGAACACCTTTTAGGGTTATTTTTTAAGAAACAGAATTTGTTGTGAATTACATGAGAAGTCTCTTTAGAGATTTCTCCTTAATAGTATTGAGGTTGGATATTAAAAAAAGGTTAATGCTATTCAATACTTCCACATCCCAAAATTCATCACAAATTCTGCTTGCTGTTATAAACCCCATAACCCTAATACTATATGGAAACCATAACAAGGTTTCCTTACTTTAAGATATAATCGTGACGTGAGTGACCAATTCAAAGTATATTCTCTCTGATATGCAAGAGCAGACTATCTGCTTTAGCTTACTTGAACTGGCTCCCTGTGGGTTTCAGAATAAGATGAAAACACTGCTGCTCTCCATTAGGGGCTCAAATAGTTTGACTCCTGACTAGTCAAACATTGGACATTCTTTCAGTTCCCAATATGAGGCTCTCATCCCTGGTTGACCCTGAAGGTCTGTGTTTCCTGTTTTCTTGCTCCAGGGTTGTAGAATCTCCAAGCTCCTATCAGATCTTGCAAGTTAGTCAGCACTTTCCAACTCCACCTTAAGACACGCTTTTATTCACTAGATTTTGATTTTATTTAAGTTAATGTGTTAGTTTGTGTTCCCCTGATTTTGTTTTTGCCTGATTTTATCATAAACTGCCTTGAGATGCATCATGATAGGTGCTATATAAAATAAAAATGTGTTATTGTAATCAAGTCATTTTTTCGAACCAGAAACAAAAGCAACTGCTCTATTCTAAATAATTCTTAACGGATAAATTAGAAATGTTTCTTTGAAAAGGGAGTATGGAACAAGCTACCCAGCCCAGTGATTGAAGCTGATGGGCTGGTTTCCTTCATGAAAAGGCTGGATGAGCTTCTTGGATCAATTGGCTACTAACTGGTCAAAATGGGCTAAAAGGGCCAAATGGTTTCTTCTCATTTCTAACCTTTCTTATGTTCTTAAAGATCAATAGCTTTTTAAACTATTTTTTTAATCAAATATAGGAGTCCTTGAAACATCCATGGTGTGACTACATCTACCTCACTCAGGTCATGGCAGATTTTGACTGTGACACGTTCTTCCCAGAGTTTGATCGGGAGATTTACAAACTGCAGGATGAGTAAGAGCTCTTTTTATTTCTGATGGGTGTTGATGAATACTGTGTAGGGGTGAGCTGCCGTTACCCCAGGAGACCCCAGGAGTAGGTTTTGTAGTTCCCTGAGTTTCATCAAACAAGATGGGTCAGGACAATTTGTCAGAGTCATAATGTCAAAGTGGTGTTAGTATGAGTCATTTTTACACGTTATGTCAGTTGTGTTGTGTTCTACTATTATTCTATTGCAATTCCAAGCGCAACACAATTTTTCTCATAGAAATCAAAGTCACATACAGGGTCGTTTTAAAATGGAAATCCATACTCTGTTATTGAAAAACACTTTGAGCACCTTAACTATCTCTGACCCAGGTTCCAGTTGGAGAGACGATGGCTTCTGACCTTCTATGCTTGTGAAGACCAATGATCCTAAAGTTGCAGTAGTCATCTCTGTGCCTAAATTCATTTTGATAATTTATGAATGAAGAAAAATACAAAATAATATACATTTCCTTTGGGTTCTCATCTGAATTGTATTTTAGAGGATTAATTCAGCATCTTTTTGGATTAGCATTTGTGAAATCAGAAAAGCTCTGTGAATGCAATTCAATATTGTATATCGTATTATAGAAAAACAAAAAATCTTAAAATTTCTAAATATACAGCTATTCTAGTTCTTAATCCCAGTAATCCTACATAATGTGTTTTGTTTGTTTTTTTCTTTCCACAATTCCTAGGTTTCCTGGTGTGCCAAGTGAAATTCAAGAGGATCAAGGTATCAAGCTCAAATTTCAGGTTTTCAAGAAGGACATGCATTAGAAGAACTGATTAAAGAGGAATGATTTGAGTTTGAACCAAATTCAAGTGCACATTATGGAGGTATCTATAATTTTAAATACAAGATACTGTATAGCAAAAGGAATATCTATGTGCTGATAAAAAAAATGTTGAACTTTTATAGCAAGAAAGAAGTGAGTTAAAAAATTCTAAGTTTGAGTTAAAAAACTAAAACTCAAATTCCGTGTAGACTTTAAAATCCTCAAGCTCAAGGCTCTGCATGGCTTGGCACCTCAGTACCTGTCTGAACTAATATCCCCCTACTTCCCACCTCGCAACCTTTGCTCTTCTAATTCTGCCCTCCTTACTGTCCCCCAAGCCCGTCTACATTGTATGGGTGACAGGGCCTTCTCCTGTTATGCCCCCAAGCTCTGGAACTCTCTCCCCAAGGATATCAGAGGGTCACCTTCTCTAAACTCTTTCAAATCCAGACTCAAAATCCTCTTCTTCAGAATAGCTTTTACTTAACTGGTTCCATTCTTCACCCCTCTTCTTTTCTTAGTACCACCATCCACGATCTCCTCTATATATTGTCATTGTGTTTTATCTTGTGTATTCTTATTATTTATTGTTGTTGTCATCCTGTAAAGCGCTTTGAGAAGCCACCTTAAAAGGGGCTTTATAAAATAAAGTTAATGTCACGGATGTCGGAAAGGACGAACCATAGAATGGCAGGAGAGCAAAAGAACCTATGTGTAGCGGCGAGACGGGGATTAGCCCGGCTCAGCTGTTCAGGAAATGCCGTATAGAAACCTATGCCCTCAGGTAGCAACGTGGGGCGACCTGGTGCTAGGCAGGTCTCAGGACATCCGAACGTCATTACTGAGCGAAGGCAGACCGAAAGACCCGGAAATATATAGCCCCAGAGCAAGAGAAACACCGGAAGGACAGCAAAGAACCGGAAATGAGAGACGGGACAGAGAAGGAGCACCCTCTGTTAACAGAGAGCGTGGCAGTTTTTTATTATTATTATTATTATTATTATTATTATTATTATTAAAAATACATATATTTTCTTTCTAAATGAAACAGTTGCAGAACACCGTGTGCCTTACTTTTTGTGTACATCTGACTAAGACCAGGCTTTCTTATCGTACTCGAAGTCTTCCAAGTTTCATCCTATTAGTGCTCATACGTATGTGTTTGGATTAATTAGCTAATGAGAGTGCTTGGTCCAGGGATTATGGTGAAGTGTTTATTTTCATATGGTTCTTGTTTGCCATTTTTGTTCTACTCACTGTCTTACTTTAAAAAAGGCACTGAACCTCCTTGTGCTTTGTCAATTAGGTTAGAAGTAAAACTGAAATTATTTTGTAAAGGATTTTGTAACTGCAGCTACAGTGTGGTAAAAGTAAAACCCTTTAAGAGTTTTTTATGGTTTAACATATTGTGATGCCACATGGGGCAGCCTACAAAAGAGGCACACATTCTAGGCAGGCCTGAGCACAGACATACCCTAAATACAAGACTAGAGGGATTTTATTCAATAATTTTCTGTAGCCCAAAATTTGGCTCTTCAAAGGATGTTGGGAAAAATATCCGTGAGCTCTTGCTGAAAAGCCCTTCCGGCCTCTCGTCAGGGAAAAACGTCCACGGTGAGGAAAATTAGTTACCTGCACTGAGGAAAATATCAGCCTTTTGCCATGGCAGATTAAAGCTCTTCTGGCTACCTAGCTGGGAAAAACTTCAATGACTGCAGCAGGCAACGTGGGTTTTCCAACTCTCGCACTGGAAAAGAGCCCGCAGACAGGTGACAGGTTCAGCCTTTCCAAGAAGAGACCAGGGTTATCCAGCAGAGTTTATCTTTGGCCTCTATTCCTGGTCATTACCCTCTTCCTCTCTACTCGGCACTGTATTTATGCACAGCTGATCCTGCTTCAGTGATTGCTGGCCCTGTCAATTCTCCTGTGATTTGCACACTACCATGTTGGGCATCACAATATTTAGACATACAGTATTTGACCTTCATCTGTTCCTAACAGTAGATAAAACTAACATCATTTGACAAATAACACACAAAAAATCCACTATTTAAAAATAAATCAGCCATCTTTTGATATCTTTGTGTGAAAAAGTTAGTGCAGCCTTACTTTTGGTTCAGTAACCTGTGGTACCTGTTTAGTGGTAATAATGTAAGTTAAAAGCTTCCAGAAACAGTTGATCAGTCGCTCACATCAAATAGGAGGTTTCTGACTCGCACCTCCTTACAGTTCAGTAAGCACAGTTCTCTTTAAGTCCCACCACAGCATTTCTGTGGGGTTTAGGTTTGGACATTGACTGGGCCATTCCAAATTTCTGATTTTGTTTTTCTTTTTTAGCCATTCAGTTGAAGATTTGCTTAGGTTTTGGATCATTAGACTGTTGCCTGATGCACTCTGAGTTCAACTTAGCAGCTAGACACATGGTCTCACATTTCCTCTAGAATACTCTGACATGGTATGGAATTCGCGGTTGACTCAATGATAGCACGGCGTCCAGGTCCTGGTGCAGCGAAGCAGGCCCAAACCATCATCCCCCCACCTACCACCACCGTGCTTGACGGATGGTATAAGTTTCTTCCACAGAACACATTGTTCCAGAAGTCTTGTTTTTCATTGAAGTGCTGTTTTGCAAATGTAAGCAATTGAAGAGCAGGGTTTCCTCCTGGCTTTGCTCCCATGAAAGCCATTCTTATTCAATCTTTTCATGATGGTGATGGACTTACGAAGAAATTACCTTATGTTATCACAAACCTGAATGTGTAATACAAAATGATGGATAATGATGATGATCTAATCATTTTGCACAGTTGTGGGAGACCTGATTGTACATACCTTCTTAACTGAGATGGTAAAACTATGAGTGCTCTTACTTTCTCACAAAAAGGTATTGAATGCTGGCTGATTTTAAAAAATTAAATAATGAAAAATAATTTTTGTATGATGTCAGATTAGGTTAGATTTTTCTACTATTAGGACTTGGTGAGGTCACAAATGTTTAAATATGTGCAGTCATAAATTCTTAAGCAGGTGTACTTACATTTCACCACACTGTATTAATGTGTCGCTTGTCCAGAAATACGAATATGTCACTTAAGATAAAAAAACATTTGATAAATAAGTAACTCTATGCTATATAAAATGTGTAGTAATGGATCTGATTGATTGTTCCCTTTTCTCCTGGTCCAATGTGGCATGTCACTGCAAGAGCTTAATAAACCCTTCTGGACTGTATTCTTGTCTTTTGAGAAATCATAAATGAAAGAAATTTCTTTTCTGTAATAACCATGTTTAAATTGATTTACTTGCATTTGATCTGGAAGGTTTTGTTACTTTTGCTAAAAACCTTTGAAGTAATAGGATTCCCACATTTGAGAATATGAGTAAGAGTTTAGTTTCTGAGTTGGCACACCTGTCTTGTTTGGGGATCCCGTTAGTTAAACCAGTAGTTTTTAGTGCTTATCCTGGAGTAAGTCTTTACCAGTGAATCTTGCAGTTTCAGTTTCGTTCTATTAACCATTCAGACTACTTCATAGGCATTATTGAACTTCTTGATTAAACATTAGAAATACGTTGACACAGGCTTTTATTTGCAGAGAAAGTTCGCAAACTGAATGCCTCCAGTTTCCACTCTTTTTGCGTACTGAGTGGTTGCTCCCTTAATTCTATCTAAATGTCTAATATTTTAGATGAACTATGAGTGTTGAGAGAGGTGGGAATTACTGTATAAGGAACTCAAACTGAAAAGGGAATATTCTATATTCTGCAGCGGACCCCAGAACTAATTACTTACGGTCCACACACCTGAGTGAGATGAGGTGTGACTGCCAGACAGAGTTGATACTAATTTCTAACACCATCCAACTTCTTGGGAGCTGAAAAAAAGGTCTTAATGTAATTATAGATCAATTGGCTGCATAGATTAATCAATTTGCCTTAGTAGGTCTCAGCTGGAAAGAGTACAAGTCACTGAAACCATGACTTGGTGTTAACCTGAAGTCATGCAGCAGAGGTAGTACTTTTAGTACTATCTGCTATCTCAGAGATAGTAGAGTTTGTGAAGTTAGGGTTTTGCCATTTTGACCTCTGCAAAGCCCAAGGAATATTTAAGAAACAGAGGTTTTAACATAATGTAAGCATCTGATACAAAAGGGATTGTGAGAGCTTAAGGTTAAAGCATCCACTTTAGCTGGGATTTGAATCTACTGTACAGCCCTCTGGTCAGGTGTCCAGATCTCTTATTACTACTCCAAAAGTGAGCACCCACTCTCATGTTTTTCTAAACTCCTTCACAAGGAAGGTGATCACACCTGTGCATTTTAACATTTTCACAAACCAGATCAAAAACAGCAAAGAAAAGATCACTGCAATCACTAAAAACTGCTAGCAGTAGTTCTGTCTTTCAGCTGCTTTGTCTTTTTAACACATTCTTAGTATTTCAGATTTGTGGTTGCTAACCCTGGCATAGCAGGAACACTGTGTTGTCTTAACATTGATTTCTGTTTCCTACAGATTTTTAATTTTGCTACTGATTCTCAAAGGGTAAATGGAATTTGTAATGGATATCACCCCTGTACCAACTTTTGACTTTCAGAACTTTCAAAACATTGAGGCATGTTGCCTGAACTGGAGCTCTGCAGAAGGAAACAAAGCTCAATGTGAGCTTGTCTGATAGTGTCATTTCCACCTGTCTCTCTTCATCTTAAACTGAGCACCTTATTAAGAAGTGTTGTATCAGAAATAAGGGTAAGAATTTTGAAAAGGGACTGACTTAAGTTGTTGGAAACACTTCTTTTTAATTAGAGAATGTTTTCGAATATCAGGAGTGTAGAATCAAGTTAACCAAAAGTAGTTAAATTAAGTAGTCAATTAGTACTAGATATTTAGATGTCAGCTTCAGTGAAAACCAGAAGATTTCAAACTCAGTTTCATAGACCATGGAATTCCATGTGGTTTTGAAAACGTATTTAATTTTTAAAGAAATATTTTAATAAAAATATATTTCTTTATTGTCCCTTTCTTTTGATTTTAATTTTACCTTTCATTATTGCTATGGCAATACAT